CTCTGAGGCTGATCCTGTCTGGAGTCCCTGGTGAGGCCACAGGTTATTATTGGGGATGAGGGTTGAGGTAGTTGTTTTGGGGTCGGATCTGACATCTCGGATTGTTCCTGTCAGTTCGGGACTGCTTGTCGTTTCGCAGTTCTAACAGTGAGTGGTAAACCTCCAACTGCTGCTTTCTGCTGAAAGTTTCAAGTCCTTCCAGCGAGAGACAGAGAGAGAGAGACAGAGGGAGGGAGAGCGATAGAGAGAAGGAAGGAAGGGAAGGAAGGAAGGAAGGAGGGAGAGAGGGAGATGGAGAGAGAGAGAGAGGTGGGGGGAGGGGAGAGAAAGAGGAGAGAGAGAGAGAGGGGGAAGGGAGATGGAGAGAGAGAGACAGAGGGAGGAAGTGACAGGAGGGAGAGACAGAGGGAGGGAGAGACAGGGAGAGAGAGGTAGGAGTGACAGGGAGGGAGAGACAAGGAGGGAGAGAGAGGGAGGGAGAGACAGAGGAAGAGAGTGACAGAGGGAGAGAGAGGGAGAGAGAGAGAAAGTTAGAGGGAGACAAAGGGAGGGAGAGAAAGAGAGAGGGAGACAGAGGGAGAGAAAGGGAGATACAGACAGAAGGAGGGAGAGACAGACTGGGAGAGAGAGAGAGACAGACAGGGAGAGGGCAGAGGGAGGAAGAAACAGATGGAGAGAGCGAATCAGAACATTATGAAACTTTGTTATTGCGGAGGATATGTTTATAGTTGTATTTATTTTTTATTTTTTCCATAATATTTGCGTTATTTTTAAATCAATTATAAATTTTAAATAAATTATAAATGTAACTAAAATTATAGATTGACTGTGGTAACAGGAAGTGGATAATCTGACCGGCTGTAACCAACCTGACTGGTTTAGCTGGTAGTAAATAACTGATGGGTTTAACTATAGAATTAATAGCAGTAAATGAAAGTGATGCAGCAGCATAAAAGCTAAATATGTCTTCACTTTCTGGGGACATTAACTTTATGGATCAAATCCAAGTCATAAAAAATTAAAACAACCTTTTTAAAAAAAATTAGACGTAATCCACACTGTTGATGTTTCATCTCATTCTTGTTTCGGGCAATATGGATTATATAGAAATATGACTGCAGACGTAATTTGGGGAGGTCTGTTAGAAATTCGAATCATGATTTGCAGTTTTGTCAAACTAAAACACCCTAACCCTTACCCTAACCCTTTGGTTTTCTTTGCTGCATGAGCTCGTAGTCAAAGATGATACTGTTTTACGCCAGGTGCTTCCACGGGGTTGTAACATGTGTTAAATATGGATATCACATCTGAAAGGTTCGAGTGTGCAAACAGCACAATTCACTGAACATTGTTAACACTGTATGATGCATTAGGTAATGTGTGTTGTCAGTCATTGTTGATAAGCAATTTTTTTTGCAAGGAAGCCGAGCTAAAAGATTTTTGCTGTTACTGCACTGAAAATGCTTCAGTTTTTTGAGTACGTTATTTGTCTTTGTTAAACATTACGTGTTTGCTGTAAATTAGGCAGAACTTTAAGAGACTACGTATTTGTTCCAATCGTTACACTTATGAGCTGAACATATTTGAGGAAAAGCAAGGTTAAGTCAAATGAAAGGACTCCCCTCGTGATTCAGTTAATGCAGTGTCAGGGTGGAACTGGATTCCTGGTCAGTGCTGATCTCAGTTCCAGGAGGAGCAGCTACACTTGGGTTGAGGAGCGAAAGTGAATATCCCATGAAAACAGAAGTAGTGTCAGTTCTGATGGTTCTAATAATAATACTTGCATTTGATATAGCACCTTATCACGTCATTGAGACGTCTCAAAGCGCCTCACAGAATATACATCAATGTGAATTGACTGTGTATTTTGTGGGCGCAACGCGGCAGCCAGTTGCGCACAGTAGTGTCCCACAAACAGTCGTGGACAGAATGACCAAATTATTTTTTTAATAGATTATTGCATCCAGAAAGTGATCCGATAATCGACTATCAACTGGTTTCCTTCTTACTGTTAGGTAAACAGAGACGTGTGGAGTAAGGAATCGAATCTGGGTCCTCTCACGTGCAAAGCGAGTGTTCTGAGCAATGCTCCCCTGATGGCCCCAAGGTCAATTAATTCGGGTGGGGACATGTCCAGGGCAATGTAGAAGATTGATCACTTTGGTGAGAAATCTCTGTGTGTCACATGGCCAGGAGATTGAAAGCATCTTCAGGAGGGGAGGAAACATTAAAGAATACATATTAAATGTAACTTTTTGTGCGATGTTTATCCCAAGATGGTATCTGTTTTAATCTCATCAGTCTTCAGTAAAGTAATTATTTTGAATGCATCCACAAACTATGAGCTTTCTTCAAGTTAACAAGAACCAAACAAATTGCATTTATATTCAAATCAAAACTAAAGATTATTAAATAAAGGCATCACCCACTTGCATTTATCAGCATATTATATACATCTTCAAACAAGTGGAATGATGAAAATACAGAATTTATAATACTAGATCTTTCAAAGCTCTGGCTGCTAATGAACAGGATAGTAAAACCTCACACCCAAGTGACATTTTCTGCAGATGGTAAAGCAGAGACATCAACTGTCCCAGGAATGTAATTGCAGTCTGACACTTGATACACATGGTCCCAAGGGTTGAAATCGAACATGTATATTATTACCAGCAAGAACACACTATTTGACACAATTCCAGTTGCATTGCACGTCGCACTTCACAGTTGCAAGTAAAACAGATAAAAATAGCAGCTCTGTGTATTGCAATGGGATCTCTCTCTGGTTATCGATTCCCTGATGCTCTTCACTGCAGAAGTTCAGTTTCGGAGCATTTTTCTTTGTCATTACGATTCCTGCATTAATCCTTTATCTCAGCACTGAACCCCCAGTGCCTCAAAGACCTGAAAAGGAACATTGCTGACATGAACTGCAATCCTTCGCTGCATTCAGAACCAGTTTGCAAGACTTTATCACACATCATGTTTCAGATTGAAATGGATAAATACAAATGTGTTAAATGTAACATATCCCCAAATAAAACAATGTTTTTTTAATATACAGAACAAGGAACATCATAGATTTGGTAACCCTGTGTCTGTGCAGTATTACAACTACCATTTGGAAATCACAGAATTAAGAACCTTCGTTATAGTACACCATCATATGTGATTGTTCTGAATTTGTACCGTAAAAAAATAGTTGGGTATCAAGTTCAGTTGAAAGCAAAATAAAGTTTATAAGAGAAGGTGGAAATCTTAATTGGGGAAACGTGTGGCAGTGTGATCCTGTACACAAAGTAACAGTGTGCAACACTGAATTATGATTCAAAAGAGATTTATTTTGTTGAAGGAGAAACCTCAGCTGCAGAGGCTTTGCCTGGAGTCAGTCAGTCACCAGTCACCAGTCAGTCAGTCACCAGTCAGTCAGTCAGTCAGTCAGTCACCAGTCAGTCAGTCAGTCACCAGTCACCAGTCAGTCAGTCACCAGTCAGTCAGTCAGTCAGTCAGTCACCAGTCAGTCAGTCAGTCACCAGTCACCAGTCAGTCACCAGTCAGTCACCAGTCAGTCAGTCAGTCAGTCAGTCACCAGTCAGTCCAGTCCAGTCAGTCAGTCCAGTCAGTCCAGTCAGTCAGTCACCAGTCAGTCAGTCCAGTCAGTCAGTCACCAGTCAGTCAGTCAGTCACCAGTCACCAGTCAGTCACCAGTCAGTCAGTCACCAGTCAGTCAGTCACCAGTCAGTCACCAGTCAGTCAGTCACCAGTCAGTCACCAGTCAGTCAGTCAGTCACCAGTCAGTCACCAGTCAGTCACCAGTCAGTCACCAGTCAGTCAGTCACCAGTCAGTCACCAGTCAGTCAGTCCAGTCAGTCACCAGTCAGTCAGTCAGTCCAGTCAGTCAGTCAGTCACCAGTCAGTCAGTCAGTCACCAGTCAGTCACCAGTCAGTCAGTCAGTCACCAGTCAGTCAGTCAGTCACCAGTCAGTCACCAGTCAGTCAGTCACCAGTCAGTCAGTCAGTCACCAGTCAGTCAGTCACCAGTCAGTCAGTCAGTCACCAGTCAGTCAGTCAGTCACCAGTCAGTCAGTCACCAGTCAGTCAGTCACCAGTCAGTCAGTCACCAGTCAGTCAGTCAGTCACCAGTCAGTCAGTCACCAGTCAGTCAGTCAGTCACCAGTCAGTCACCAGTCAGTCAGTCACCAGTCAGTCAGTCAGTCACCAGTTAGTCAGTCACCAGTCAGTCAGTCAGTCACCAGTCAGTCAGTCAGTCACCAGTCAGTCAGTCAGTCACCAGTCACCAGTCAGTGAGTCAGTCACCAGTCAGTGAGTCAGTCACCAGTCAGTCAGTCAGTCACCAGTCAGTCAGTCACCAGTCAGTCACCAGTCACCAGTCAGTCAGTCACCAGTCAGTCACCAGTCACCAGTCAGTCACCAGTCAGTCAGTCAGTCAGTCACCAGTCAGTCACCAGTCAGTCAGTCACCAGTCAGTCAGTCAGTCACCAGTCAGTCAGTCAGTCACCAGTCAGTCACCAGTCACCAGTCAGTCACCAGTCAGTCACCAGTCACCAGTCAGTCACCAGTCACCAGTCAGTCACCAGTCAGTCAGTCAGTCAGTCACCAGTCAGTCAGTCAGTCAGTCACCAGTCAGTCACCAGTCAGTCAGTCAGTCAGTCACCAGTCAGTCAGTCACCAGTCAGTCAGTCAGTCAGTCACCAGTCAGTCAGTCAGTCAGTGAGTCAGTCACCAGTCAGTCAGTCACCAGTCACTAGTCAGTGAGTCGGGGCTGTGTACACACACACAGTCTCAGAGACCAGTGAGGAATTCCTCAGAGAAACAAATCCACGTGAATTTTAATTTGCGTCTCTCTGTTACTGACCGCTCTCCGGCTCACAGCGGCGTGTGGATGGATCTGAGGGTTCGCGTGTGAGAGCTCGCGTTTAAAATCTCTCTCTCCCTCTCTCCCTCTCTCTCTCTCTCTCCATCTCCTGCTCCCTGTGCAGACGTGTCCGTCCCCCACACCCCCCGAGCGCCGCACTCTGCCTTCTTTAGCCATGGAATCCGCACCTCCGGATCCGCAGTCTCCCCCCAACCAGACCCCCCCCGCACACGGCCGGTACCCCGCCATCCCCGGTCAGCACAAGGGACACTTCGACACCGAGAAGGACAACCAAATGAGGATCAGTGAAAGCGCTCAGTTCAGTGATATGGTGGAGAACAGAGGTGAGTGTGAGATCCGACTCCACAGCGGGTAATGACATGACAGAGAGATCGTGCGAGTGAGTGAGTGAGTGATGAGTGAGTGAGTGAGTGAGTGGGTGGGTGATGAGTGAGTGAGTGAGTGAGTAGGTGATGAGTGAGTGGGTGAGTGAGTGGGTGAGTGAGTGGGTGATGAGTGAGTGGGTGGGTGATGAGTGAGTGAGTGAGTGAATAAGTGAGTGAGTAGGTGATGAGTGAGTGGGTGAGTGAGTGGGTGATGAGTGAGTGGGTGAGTGGGTGATGAGTGAGTAGTGAGTGAGTGATGAGTGAGTGGTGAGTGGGTGGTGAGTGAGTGAGTGGGTGAGTGGGTGATGAGTGAGTGGGTGATGAGTGAGTGAGTGAGTGGGTGATGAGTGAGTAGTGAGTGAGTGAGTGGGTGAGTGAGTGAGTGATGAGTGAGTAGTGAGTGAGTGAGTGGGTGAGTGGGTGATGCGTGAGTGAGTGGGTGATGAGTGAGTGAGTGAGTGAGTGGGTGGGTGAGTGTGTGAGTGGGTGGTGAGTGGGTGAGTGAGTGGGTGAGTGAGTGAGTGGGTGAGTGAGTGGGTGAGTGAGTGGGTGGTGAGTGGGTGAGTGAGTGAGTGAGTGGGTGAATGAGTGGGTGGTGAGTGGGTGAGTGAGTGAGTGGGTGGTGAATGGGTGAGTGAGTGAGTGAGTGGGTGAGTGAGTGAGTGGGTGGGTGGGTGAGTGGGTGAGTGAGTGGGTGGGTGGTGAGTGGGTGAGTGAGTGAGTGAGTGAGTGAGTGGGTGAGTGAATGAGTGAGTGGGTGGGTGGAGGGGGGATGTTTATTGGACCTTTTTAGTGGTACAAACACAGGAAGAAATCAGAAAAAGATTCCACCCAATTTGTGGTTTGTTGTAAAATACTGAATGAGGAAATGTCCGAGGAATTAAGGGGTCGCATATGAAACTTCTGTGGACAGACAGTCCATACCCATTGTTCTGCAGTGTAGGGTAAACAACTACAATCATTTGGGCCTTAAGCAGAGCATAATTTCAGAATAATCAAAGCCCCTTAGGAAGTTCAATTGACTGTGTTCATCAATTGCAGTTATATGGTTCAGTTTCAAGGATTAAACTTAGCACATGTATCTTTGGGGGGAAAAAAATCAAATGAGAATAAGGGAAAATTATAAAATAGGCAATGCAGTATCGAATATGCTCTCTAAAACTGCATAAAAGGAAGGGTATGAATTATTAAACACATCAAGAATGGAGCTCTGTCAGAATTAATTTCAAAACAGTTATGTTATGGTCTAAATAATAATCCTTGCATTTGGTATAGCGCATTGTTGTCAAATTGTTGAGACAGTTCAAAGCGCTTCACAGAATATACTGTAAAGTAAATGTACTGTATATTTGGTTGGCGAAGCGCAGCAGCCAATTGCGCACAAAAGTGTCCCACAAACAGTCATGGATCGAGTGACCAAATTATTATTATTATCTTTTGTTTTGAAGGAATTATTACCCCTGGAAAGCAATCCGTTGATCGACTAACAACCGTTTCACCCTGCCCGAGAATCAAACCTGGGTCTTCTCGCATGCGAGATGAGTGTTCTAACCGCTATACTACAGGACTCCACTAAATGTATAAAATTAAAATTCATCAACTTGACCTAAATTTATTGGCTGTGCAAAGGAAGATCCTGGCCAGAGTTAGTTAATGCTGAATGATGCTATCCTTCACTAAACTGAGATCTGATCAAAGTTGGTTAATACTGTATTGGAGGCCTGTAGCTCAGTGGTTAGAGCACTTGCCCTGCAAGTGAGAAATCTGGGTTCGATTCCCGGCAAGGCAAAACACTGGGCAACTTTCCTTATTCCACATACCTCTGTTTACCTAGCAGTAAGTTGTTAGTCGATTGGCAGATCGCTTTTCCCGGGGGTAATAATTCCTTAAAAAAGTAATAATAAATTGGTCACTCAATCCACGACTATTTGTGGGACACTGCTGTACGCAATTGATTGCTGCGTTTCGCCCACACAAAAAAAACAGTCAGTTCACTTTACAGTATATTCTGTGAAGTGCTTTGAAACGTCTCGAAGGCGCTATATCAAATGCAAGCATTATTATTATTGATTTTGTTATTCCCACCTCTACTGAAGAAATCACCTTAAACATGAATGTCATGTAAGACAATTAATTTCTTCACTACTCTTTTCACACGTAGGTTTATTGGAGAGCAGCCAGAGGCTGAAACCACACGAAGCCCAGAGCTACCGCAAGAAGGCATTATGGGTGTCCTGGGTCTCCATAGTTGTCACCTTATCCCTGGCTGTGGCTGCCTTCAGTGAGTATTGACCCATAACTCATTGTCTACACACAATCCCAGCACTGCTGTGCATAATAACCCTCCAGCCTTGCAGGGGGTATAATCACATAACGATTTATTTTGCTGCATGTGGTGTTGGTGGTGATTTGCTGCCTGGCAATTGATGAATTCGTGAGTGAGCAATTAGTAAATGCAAAGGACAAAACCGGTGAGGGCAGAAGAAGGGGGGAATGTTTTATGTAATATTAGTTCAAATGGTTTACTACTGAAGCAGACACAACACGTTTATTTTCTGACAGTTACTGGTCATTTACACAACTGTTAATTTATTGCTTTGGACCCAAAGTTTGGAGGATTTCAAACCACTTGGGAAATTATTGGAGATTTTTCGGTTGAAGGTAATAAGCAAAACTCAACATCTGAGACAAGATGCAGCCTATAAAACCCAGAGCAATTTATGTTGAGAAAAATTCACATGAGGTGACTTCATTTGAAACTTTGTTCGATGGGAGGGGTAACTGTGAAAAGCTGTGAAACCACAAACTTTCAAATCCTAGTAAACCAGGATGTTAGCAAAAAAACTCGTACTGTATGTCATGTATGATCTGTGGCATTTTTAGTTAACCTCTCTTTAGGCATTGTTGATCTCATGGTAATCACAGTTCATTGTTTCTATTGGACTCCACATCCTTGCCAAACAATGCACCAGAATAAAAAGATGGTGTTTCTTACGAATGTTGAAGCTTTTAGTGAAAAACAGAATATTCACAGCATGCCAATTAACTTTGAAAGAGAAAGACAAAATGTTGTTGGAGGGAAAGAACATACAGTAGAGATCATCGAAGGCTTTCTCTTTTATATTTTTTCAGAAATGTAGTTTCATATCTCCAGCATTTCCAGTTTTTCTTTTTGTAACTATTATTTTGATTTCATACTCAAAGGATTTCTCTCTGACGCTCAGTGCAAAAGACTATGAGAAGGTATTATTATCTCTTTTTTAATGCAAAAAGCACTGAAAAAAGGACTTTTACTTTGAATTAGTAATTAGAGTTTATTGTATTACAGTCATATTAGTCTACAGAATAGGGATCTCAATATGTATTGTGGCCAATTTACACATTTTGAATATGAAATCTGAATTATGCATGAAAAGGGCTCCGCTGGCTTCCCATCACCCAGAGGATACAGTTCAAGATCCTGGTCCTCACGTTCAAAGCCCTCCACGGTCTCGCTTCCTCTACCTCTGCGATCTCCTAACCCCCTACTACCCTACTCGCTCCCTCAGCAGGCTCAGGCCTGCTTCACGTCCCCCGCCCTGCTCGCCCCACTATCGGCAGGCGGGCTTTCCGCCGCTCTGCACCCACCCTCTGGAACTCCATCCCATAGTCCCTCTGTCTCGCCCCCTCCCTCACCACCTTAAAGACCCACCTCAAGACCCCTCTTCGACCATGCTTTCGATCTCCCTGCTTCCCCTTCTGCCTTCCCCCCTTCCCCCACCCCAACCCTCAGCTCGGGTCTGTAACTCTGTCTGTCCAGCGCCTTGGGACGTCCTCCCGACATGAAAGCCGCTATACAAATGTAATTTTGTTGTTGGCTCCTCCCTGGGCTCTCCCTCACACTCACCGAACTAGTGCACAATCTTGGTGTCCGGTTCGACCCCCAGCTGCCCTCCCTCCCCCACATCCAGTCCCTGACCAGGACCGCCTTCTTCCACCTCTGCCACATTGCCCACCTCCAACCGTACTTTACTCCAAATGCAGTCAAAACCCTCGTGCATGCGTTTGTCACCTCCTGCCTGAATTACTCAAACGCACTCCTCGCCGGTCTCCCCAGTTCCACTATTCAAAAGATCCAACTTATTCAGAACTCTGCCGCCCGCATACTGACCCGGATCAAACTCCGGACCTACATCTCACCAGTTCTGGCCAGGCTCCACTGGCTCCCCAATACTGAACGGATCGACTTCAGGATCCTCACACTCGTTGAATCCCTTCACTCCCTGGCACTTCCCTACCTCTCCGATGTCCTCACTCCCCAGTCCACCATCTGGCGTCTCCGCTCGAATGGCACAACAACAACAAGAACTTGGATTTATATAGGGCCTTCCATGCCGGATGGCGTCTCAGAGCGCTTTACAGTTTCAGATCCCGGGACCGAGCCAGGGGGAGGGGGGGGAAGGTGACCAAAGGCGCGTTTGAAAAGAAAGGTCTTCAGTAGAGACCTGAAAATGGGAAGGGAGGGAGTGAGACGAAGGGAGTGAGGAAGGCTGTTCCAGAGCCTCGGGGCATAGTGGCTGAAGGCACGGCCGCCGAGGGTGGAACGGAGGACTTGGGGGACGAGGAGGAGGGCAGACCTGGAGGAACAAAGGCAACAGGTGCTGTTTTGAGGAGAGAGGAGGTCAGAAAGGTAGAGGGGGGTGCAGAGGAGTGCAGGGACTTGAATATGAGGGTGAGGATCTTGAAAATCGATCCTCTCCTGGATAGGCAGCCAGTGCAGTCTGGCAAGGACTGGGGTGATCGGGGAGCGGAGTTTCATGCTGGTGAGAATGCGGGCGGCCGAATCTCCTGCTCGTCCCTTGCATTCTCCGCCCCACCATCGAAAGGCGTGCTTTCAGCCAGAAACTCTGGAACACTCTCCCTCAATTCTTGCCTCCTCTCTCCCCCTTTTCAAGTCCCGCCTAAAAACCTTCCTCTGCGTCCGTGCTCACAGCCACCTCCCCACTCCCCCCGAGTCAGGTTCCGTCACTGCTAAGCTCTTTGAAACGCTACTCTGTGTGGAGGGGGCCATATAAGTGCAAGTTGTTGTTGTTATATGAAAGGATTTCTATTTGCAACAAACAACTGTGCTTTTTAACTGGAAAGCAGGCTTTTATCATAGTGAAGATGATGAATAAGTTGTAAATGAGAGTACTTATCTAAGAATAGATCACTCTAAACACAGCAAATATAAGGCACTCTTGGGCACAAAACAGACACAATATCTTTAACAAGGTTCTCTTTTTAGGAAACAAATAACCCAGAGTTTAGCAATACTGTTTATTAGGCCAGAAATTACATTCAAGTTGAAATAATTCCAACTTCTACGTTTGGCATGAAGAAAATCATTGAAGTTGTTTTTAAAGCAAACAATTTCAAAGTCCATCTTCTGGATGTTAGACCTTATTCTTGGTTGATGGATTACTTTAATTTCACTTGAGTGCTTTTCTAGTTCCTGTACCAATTCTATTTTTAAAAAAATCCTATTATGCAGTGGGATATTGAACTGAGATGCCTGTAAACTGAAATGTCAAGAATTTATGAATGGATACTTATCAGGAAAGATTACAGTGCATTGCACCTAGATAGTGTTCTCTTTCCCAATGCACTTTCAGTTCTCTTCACTTTATTGCAAATGCTTTATGGTTATAATAACAAGCCATACATTAAATAGTTCACAGAACATGGTATAATGCAAACAATATTGAGTGAACATAAGAACATAAGAACATAAGAATTAGGAGCAGGAGTAGGCCATTCGGCCCTTCGTGCCTGCTCCGCCATTCAATAAGATCATGGCTGATCTTCTCACCTAACTCTGATTACCTGCCCTATCCCCATATCCCCTAATCCCTCTATTTTTCAAGAATCTATCACTCTCAGCCTTGAAAATGTTCGAGGACTGAGCATCTACAGCCTTCTGGGGTAGTGAATTCCATAAGTTCACTGCCCTCTGAGTGAAGAAATGTTTCCTCAACTCTGTTCTAAAAGGCTGACCCTTAATTTTAAGACTGTGACCCCTGGTTATAGATTCTCCTACCAGGGGAAACAGACCCTCAGTGTCTACTTTATCAGCCCTTTAAGAATCTTATAAATTTCAATAAGATCTCCCCTAATTCTTCTGTACTCTAGAGAATACAGCCCTAGTTTATTCAGCCTATCCTCATAGTCAGTCCCCTCATCCCAGGAACTAACCGAGTGAATCTACGCTGCACCCCCTCTAGGGCAAGTATGTCCTTTTTTAAATAAGGAGACCAAGTGAGCTTTACAGTATTATATTAAACAGTACTATGTGAAACCAAGTTGCCAATAGAATAAAATTCACAATGTTTGTAGTGTTCAGAAGCAGCAATCAATGTGTGGTTGTGTTCTTGGTATATTTGCTAAATTTTCATAAGAGAGATAGAGCATTGCAATGCTGGATGCCTCACCCATCCTCTAACAATGAATACAATTTCACCATCAATGTCAGTGAGTTGAAATCCTTATAACAACAACAACAAGATTTCATTTATAGAGCGCCTTTCACGTCGGGATGACATCCCAAGGCGCTGGAGAATTGGGTCGGGACCCGAGCAGGGGGGAAATGGTCAGGGTGAGGGGAGGGAAGGGAGGGAGCGAGGAGGGGGTAGAGAGTCGAGAGGGGAGCTGAAGGCACGGTCGAAGAGAAGATATAAGATTCTTCTCGCAGTTCCTCAGCTTCATACAAATGTAATTTTGTTGTTGTCATTGTTCAACCTCAGACTCAAATTCACTGATGTGAAGATGAAAATTTCCACCAAATTCACTTATTATTATTATTTTTTAGACTATTCCTGTTTTGATTTTAGAGTATCCATGAACCTGCTATCTGTTTGCTTTCCCCAATTATTTGGATTACATCCCTTCCTATGAGCCATTTGTTTCGAATCAATCTTCAGTGGTTAGGTCAGGAAGAAAAATGAGTCAAGGCTCGCTCCTATGAGACTCCCAGTGACAACCAACTCATTATATCACCTAATTTGCCAGACAGTGTTATCACATTAAGCAGACAATGGTACCAAGTTTATTTCTATAAGCTAATTAAAACATAAATCCAATTACAGAAAAAAATGAGAAGAAACAGATGTGCTGAAAGGAGATAATATCACTCCTACGTTGGGTCTTTGAACTCACAGTCTCGGCTGACACTCTAATGCAGTGTTGGGGTGCGCTGTATTGCTGGAGATTTTGTGCTTTAGATGAGACTGTAAACCTAAGCCCAGTCTGTCCATATATGTGGAC